GCATTGACGAGTCTTGGTGGGATTGGTCGGAGATGGCGAACGTGCCTGGAATGTCCCCTACTTCATCTAAGAAGCCAATCGTGCTGCCTTTGTTGAGGTGTCGGCGTTACCTGCCGAAGTTGGTTACGAGCACGTCAGCTTGTCCATTCTTGATGTAAGTGATGCCTCTGGCGATGCCAAGCTGTCGGTCTAAGAGAAACTGCCTGTTTCCCTAGATCACGCCTTCAACATCCTCGGTGTTGCCTGTAACCACTGTATTATGACGCTTGACCTTGGTGGGATGCTTACTTCTTCATCTAGAACACGCAGGATGGCGTGGTGACCTAGGGTGGTCTTCGACTGAATGGTTTGGCCCGTGGAAAGTGTGATCTGTCTTGATTGAAGGTCGATGATTGCTCGGTATTCGGTCAGAAAATCCATGCCCAAGATGACATCGCGGGAACACTGCTGCAGGACTATGAAGCACGCTGGGTAAGTACGTCCACTGACAGTCACTCGTGCTGTGCATCGTCCCGTTGGCAACACGAGATGGCCTCTGGCTGTGCGGATCACGGGACCATCCCATCTAGTCATTACCTTCTTTAGTTGCTCTGCGAAGGCTCCGCTTATTACAGAAAAGTCGACTCCTGTGTCGATAAGGGCTGTTACACTACGGCCGTCTATAAGTAGGTCTAGGTCAGAGATTCTAGATCTCGAGTTGGACGTCAGTCTTGGTGTCGAATCACGGCTTCTGCGAGTGCTGCAAGTGCGGTTGGGGCGTGCCATCGAGCTTAGTGCGAGGTGTCGTCGTAGCAGCCGTGGTGTCTCCGTCGGGGCGCTATCGTCGTGCGGTATGATCAGTGGAGGTTCTTCGTCTATTCGCCGGCAAGCAAACTCGCCTCCAAAGGCTGCTTTACTCAGTTTCCCCTACGAGGGCTCGGGGACCTTTCTCGCGCTGCCGCCGCGTTGCCACGGCCTAGCGATGTGTAGCGGCTGTATGGCGGTGATGATGATCGTGATGGACGGGTGGGCGGATACTCGGCACGGCGCAAGTAGTCTTCAGCTTCACGTGGTCGCTGTCCGGGTCGCGGTCGTGGTGCGTTGAGGGCAAAACCACGAAGTGCCATGCGTTTGTAAGGGCAGTATCTGAGGATGTGGCCTGGCTCACCGCAGTGAAAGCATAGTGGGCGTTGTTGGTCGGGGGTTCTCCAGAGGTCTGCTTTTCGCGGCGCTTCCAAAAAAACAGGTAAGTGGACGGGTGACTGCGATCGCTGGGGTGGTTCGTAATGCTCACGGCGCATGTTGGTGGTACCCCTTGGGCTGCGTACTGCAGCAGCGTAACTTATTCCCTGGTTTTCTTGACATGGAGTCGCCGTCCGAGAAACACCCAGAGCAATGCGAACTTCGTCGCATATGACATCCGTGAGTGACGCTTCTGGAGGCTGCGAGGGTGATGGTATAAGTAGCCGCAGCTCCTCGCGGACGACTTCGCGTATTATTTCACACAAATCGCTGGTACTTGCAAACGTTGCTTGAGGGTCCATGGAAGCTATGTGCACTGTACGGTTGTACTGGCGGTTTCGGGAATTAAGGTCTTCTCAATGGTGGATGCCTCTTGCGTGAACTCGGCAATGGTTTTCGGCGGGTTGCGAACTAGGCCAGCGAAAAGGGACTCTTTTACTCCTCGCATTAGAAGCCAAACCTGCTTTTCCTCTGCCATGTTCGGATCCACACGGCGGATGAGGAGGTTCATTTCCTCGACGTATATAGGCACAGTTTCGTTAGGCTTTTGGATCCTCGATTGTAGCAGAATTTCAGCCCTTTCTTTGCGCAGCATGTTGGCAAACGTCCTCAAGAAATCAGTCTTGAACACCTCCCACGTAGTCAAAGAGGCCTCGTGGTTTTCAAACGACATTTTAGCGGGGCCGTCGAGTGCGAAGAAAACGTTACTCACCTTCATCTCGTCATCCCATTTGTTTAGTGAAGCCACCCGAGTGAATTGGTCGAGCCAATCTTCTGCATCTTCTGCAGGCGAGCCGTGGAAGGTTGGAGGCACTCGAGGCTGTTGCAAGATGACAGGGGTGGGCGCAGCTGGTAGGCTCATGGTTGACGTCGAGTCTTCTTTTTTCTGTCGAGTGTACTCCGGTAGTGTTCCGGGTTCCGGTGGCAACCCTTGTAGGCGGCGGCTACTGCGAGTCGCGTCGCTGCTTTTGGGGGCCTCGTCCTTCCGTGCAGCTGTCGGCTCAGGGACCTGGTGCATACCCCGCACCTCCACCAGTTGTCACGTAGCCGCGACGATGAAGGAACGTGCACGACAGGATCGGGAGCAATCCGCAACAATCTTTTATTTCACTGGGCTGACCTGCGCCCGAAAGAGACAAGTGAACCGCCGTACAGCTGGTGAACTACTACACCGGTGTCCACGGCTGCCCTCGGCTTATTCGCGAGGGGCGTTTTCCGATAAAACGCGGCACGAAGATAAGTTCACGGATCCCGCCTTCATGATGGAGCGCAGATACACACTAGCCACGTGCGGCAAAAGCGAAGCGATAAGGATGGCAAGCTGATTGCGGCAATATGCTCGAAGACCACGCCATCTAGCTATCAACCAGTCCCTGGGAATCCCCTGTTGTGTTTGCAAAAAATGGTACCCTGCGATTTTGCGTTATTTACCCAAAGTTGAATAAGATCACGAAGACGTATGTCCTTTAGCACGAATAGATGACTCGCTGGACCGTATTGGTAACGCTCGTTACTTTTCTCTCGTGGATCTACGCAGTGGCTATTCGCGAATTTCTGTTAATGAGCGCGACCGCGAAAAGATTGGCTTAATTACTCGGGACGGACTCGTATGAGTTCGAAGTACTTCTCTTCTGCTTATGCTCGGCACAAGCTACTTTTCAAAAAATGATGAGCACGGTTATTAGTGCCATGAGCCCTAATGGCCCTGTTGTCTTGTCTACCTCGACGATGTGGTGGGCTTCTCGGACACGCTTAAGCAACACGTCCAGCGCTTACAGTCAGTTCTTCAGGTGTGAACTGTAGCACGAACTATATATTCTGTTAAGAAGGAATTTAGCGAGAAAAATGTCAGAACTTATGATTTTTACTTCCGAATAACATTTCTGGCGTTGCTAAGCAACAACCACAAACAATTCTGGAGCGCCGTTATACTGAAAGAACTAACAACTGATTCTTATGATTGTTTCACATCTGTTTTCACTCATGACAACCTCGTTGTTTCTCCATGTTCACAACAGCCTCTAGGTTCAAATATTAATAATTTAGTTTCAAATTAGGAGTACCTAACTTGATTTTAAGATTAGATTTCGAAAAGACAGGTTGTCCGGACAATACAGACAATAATTCCTCACTAGATATTGATTATATACAAGTTGCTATTCAACTATCATTTTTCAAAAATTCTTTTCAGCCTCCAATGTCCTTCAAACATAGAAGTCCGCTGAAGTTTTCCATCAACTTAATTCGGGAAACAAACTGTCTTCACTGAATTGGAGACTGATTTCCCTTACATGTCATTTATTTCGAATTCTCGAACACATAATATACAAACACACAACTGCATTTCCCGACGCAAATAGCAATTCTCAGCATAATTTTTGACGTCGTCAAAGCACCCTAACCCAACTTAGTGAATTCACTCATAATATTATCGCAGCTCTCGATGTAGGCGACCGAAATGACGCGATGTTCATTGAGTTTTGCAAAGCACTCGATGCGGGTTAAGGGTGCGAAACTCCCTATACTTCCCATCTAAACGCTCTCGCATGGTGATACGCAGCGGCAGCACTGCTTTTACCTTTTGTGGTTCCCGGGCATCCTACCGAAAATCTCGAACAGAAAATTTCTTTCATGACGTCACTGGTGAGGGCATGAAATAGAAGGACGAAAAAAACGAGAGAAGGGGGGTTGCCGCGGAAGTCTTCCCTGTCCCACTTCGCATGCAATCGCTCGTGTGCTCGTGCGCTCGTTCTTTCTTTCATGTCCGGTGGCCACTTGGGCGATGCGTCCACTCATACAATTTCGTTATTCATTTTATTTAAATTTTGTTCTTGTGTTATGAAGATGCGAAAGATAAACTGACACATTTTCAGTAAGACGGAGGTCGATCAGCACAAATAAAACTAACTATTTTTCTGCACGTTTTGTGAATGAAAACAGACAAACACGTAGGAGGAAAGTGTCCATCTATAAAATCAGCTTTAACTTACAACTGACATACGCACATAATGAGCAACCATTCAAACCAGGATATCCAAGCCAATGAAAAAATTATCAACAATCACGAGCAGGACATGTCGTATTTGACTTAATCACGTTTGTTCAGATGGCGCGCATACTTTTTTTTACAGAACTTGAGTACCAAGCGAGGCTGAAGTTCAGAGGCACGGAGGCACTTGAAGCGATCAGAAGTATTCCAAAAAGAGAGTCGCTGAAACCAGTGTTCCAGCAAGCTGACTTGAACTAGTCAGAGCAACAGCGTTGCCTTGACGAAGAAAAGTTCACTTGTCAGGACGTTGACTCAATCGTCATTCGGTGTAATAACTTTTAGTAGAATTTGGTCCATCACGTCTAATTGTGTGGCAGTATAAAAAGTAAACACTCACAAATTTTCAAATCATAGATAAAAAAATTTCATGAAAAGAAGTCGTCCTGATGGCGCACATGTTGTACACTTATATAAAAAAATATTATGCCTTAAGGGCAAGGCTATGTTGCAGTAAAAAAATAATAAAGCAGCCTATAATTACATAACATCATTTGAACTATACGTTAAAAGTAAAAGAAGCTAAAAAGCTAAATAGGAATATGTAGCCGAGAAAACTCGGATTAAAGCCTTTCAATAAGCGCATTTTCCCGACAGCAGCTTGGTTGACCTATTAGTCAAGTGACATTGCACTTCTGTCAGTCCATCCAGGCTTGCAGAGAACTGGGTTTACTCATATACTCAGGCAAAATCAACACCTACTCAAATAATGGGTCTAAATTTTTGTGCTCACCCATTGCCTGTACGAAACGTTGATAAACCTTCACGGAACTAGAAAACTCCGGGTTCACACGCCGCACCGCCGCAGAAAACATGTGTGATCCGATTAGCCATTTCCGACGAATGCGTGGCTGACTTGTTCGGCGTAGCTCACGGTGGCGTCCATCCTCTGCCCACCACAACTTGCTGTCCTTATCTTTCTCGTAGTTGCCGCATGATTGCCGCGCCACCACCGAGCGAGATAACTGAGCGCAATCCAACTTCTAACAATGTTGAGCGTGGGGCGAGAAGCAGTGGAGGCAAGCACTACCAACTCAACTCAATCACTTTACGCGCTTCGCCTTATTTAAAATTAACTAAATTAAGTATAAGATAAACTTATAAACAAATAAGAAGTTTTTAACAGGGGCTTCAATTTTTTATTTGTATATACTTGTGAAAGCCAATAAATGCGAACATTCACATCAACCTTTCTCCGTTCAACCGGATCTTAGGATGCCCGGCAACCGCTGCGAGCGTGGGCGTTTCTTGGAATCGAAACTAGTGATTAGTTTCCGGGGCCTGACTGTATCACATTGTAAACTAATTTAAAGATCTACCTTACAGCCTGTAATATCAAGCATTCATTGGATTTCTCTTTTATTTTGGATCAGTTTCAGTACGTACAAATTAAGTCTTTTCAATCGTCTGTTTTTAGGGTAACGTCTGGTGTGCCTCCAGGCTCAATACAAGGCCGTCTACATTTCCTAATTTACATACATGATCTTCCACACAACATTCCCGTTAAAATTCGCATGCACTATCAGCATCAAATCAAACGCGAACAGCGGAGTGCGTGGCACAGGCCCTATCAATGGCATAGTGCATGCCATCCGCCAGTCATTGAAACAGACAGGCCCGCACATCCGGTGTGGCAGCACTGTGCGATCCCCCTGTAGTACAGTATTTCTGCTTCTGTTTCAGGTATGGTGATGGTATTTGAAAGGAGCAAAATAACAAATATACAGAGGCTAGACTACTGGAGCAGAAGGCCAGTATTGTAGCACGGTTTCTCATCATGGAGTTCATAATCACGGAATGCCTGGCAAATTCTGTTTATAGTAGACAAAAATTGGTTCACAATGCTGGCAATTTCACGTTGTTTCACTTTGTGCCAGTAAATGAAACAATTTGCGCTCTCTCTTCCGAAGAAACGCTCGGCATTCCCAGTTAAAGTGAAGCCTTTTCGGGTCGTTTTCTAAAAGAAGGGTGTAGGTGAAGCAGCGCTGGCGAACGAGATACCACGATCGTTTTAAAATCAACTGCAAACCGATTATATTTCTCTTTTGTTTTATCTTGCCAAGGCACTGATTGCACTGCGACGCTAAAGTAAAAGTGAGGAATTGGGAGTGATACAATCAAAAGCTCTTGACACGGCAACGATGGCCACCATTATCACAATACGAAAACTATGGCAAAAACGGAGATGACGCACTCCAGAGGGATCGCACAGTGCTGCCAAACCGGATCTGCACGCCTGTAAATGGTGTTGACTGGACGGCCAAACTATACTATTTCTAATGCTTGAAACACGCACTCCACTGTTCATGTTTAGTTTGGCGCCGATAGTACGCTCACTACTGTGTATAGTACTATACGAATAAATCCTCCAACGATCAGATAAATATTTCGACGCTCCTTTCCGTAAGTTTTCTTATCACCCCATTACACTACGTTCAGCGAAAACCGTGCCTACGAGGTTGTAAAAGCTTCAAGGCTGTAGTAGATTGTTTTGTTAAAACAGCGACCACTTCGTGAACATTACAGATTATTGTTGAACTTACGTCGCCGCTAGCGAAAACGCTAGAACATCCGATGGCAAGTGTATTAATGCCGACAAGCTTCGCCACTTGTCAGCTGATCGACGGCCAACGCTCTACTCGCCGCTATCAGTGTCAGTGTCTTGCTGTAATCTAACTTTTCTTTTGATTGATTGATATGTGATGTTTAACGTCCCAAAACCACCATATGGTTATGAGAGACGCCGTGGTGGAAGACTCCATAAATGTCGACCACCTGGGGTTCTCTAACGTGCGCCAAAATTTTAGCCCACGTGCCTACAGCATTTTCGCCTCCTTCCAAAATGCAGCCGCTGCAGCCGGGATTTGATCCCGCGACCTGCGGGTCAGCAGCCCAGTACCTTAGCCACTAGACCACCACGGCAGGGCTAACTTTTCTTTTACGTGGTGACAAGTTCGGCCCGAATAAACAGTTTATTATTCGACCTGCAGTCTCCTTTCATCCACATCACGACCCCGCAACATCTGGTGGAGTTGAGAGATGTGGGTATAAGAGGGAAAAGAAGAGAAAAGTGAGCCCCGTAACTGTCTGCTTCAGGGTGCGACACCTCAACAGTAGCTCACGAGGGATGGGGATGAGGAGGGATTAAAAAGATAGAATTAAAGGTATAGAAAGTGAGAGAGAGAGAGAGAGAGAAAGTTGCGCTGGGACAGAGAGCGAGGACAGATCGAGGGGATAGGAGAGATAGGAAAGATGGAAACCCGGTCACAGGAGTCCGAGGACGGGGCACCACTTGCGAGAGCTTTTGTCGGCGTCAGGAGATGGCGCAGGGCAATTTCATTAGGTCAGAGCAACGCTGTTGTCTGAGATCGGCGTCAGGAGATGACGTAGGGCCAGCCCAGTCGGCCAGAAGTACGCTGACGTCAGAGATTGCAAGGGCACAACCGGTCGGCACGGAATCCAGCGAGCGAGTGACTGGTGGATTTGCTTCCTGTTCAGTTGCTTCCCGTCCATGTAACGAACGCCCCCCTCCAGTCGAGAGCCAAGCCCCAACCGTGAACCAAACATCTCCGCCAACCTCGACCTGCGAGCAAGCCGTCGGCAACAAGGACTACCTCCGGAGTACGGGGATCTACTCGGCAATAATCGCAAGCCGAAAGCCACCACCACTACTGCGACAACTAATGACAGTTTCCATACCAATGCTCGCCATGGTCGTAATGTAGCAGCCAAAGGAGCCACCAATCTTCCGCGGATGATCATTTGAAAAACCAAAGACCTGGCTGGAAACGTACGACTGAGTAGCCGCCTTAAACCAGTGGCACATAAAAAAAAACAGCGCCGCGTCTACTTCTATCTTAATGACGCGGCAAAGACGTGGTTTGAAAATTTAGACTGCATTGCAATCCTGGGATATTTTTTGTGGTGCATTCCTTAAAACTATCACGAGCGTCGCCCGCAAGGAAAGGGCTGGTGCTTTGTTTGAGACCCGGGTGCAGCTAGCCAATTAAAATGTCACCATCTTCACCAAAAATATTGATTAATTTGTGGGGTTTAACGTCCCAAAACCACCATATGATTATGAGAGACGCCGTACTGGAGGGCTCCGGAAATTTCGACCACGTAGAATTTTTTAACGTGCACCCAAATCTGAGTACACGGGCCTACAACATTTCCGCCTCCATCGGAAATGCAGCCGCCACAGCCGGGATATGATCCCGCGAACTGCGGGTCAGGAGCTGAGTACCTTAACCACTAGGCCACCGTGGCTGGGCTTCACGGAAAAGATAACGAAACTATTTCGGCACGCCAATCCTACCATGACTGAGGACAAGCAGCGGCGCTTCTTCATGAGGGGTGTGAAGCAAAAGCTGTTTGCTGGACTTGTTCGCAACCCACCCAAGATTGATGAATTTTTCACCAAAGCTACGACAATCGAGAAGACACTTGAGATGTGCACAAGGCAGTATGAGCGCTGCTCTTCAACAGCCAACTATGCTGAAGCCCATGCCCTCGGCACGGATGACCTGTGAGAAACGATCTGATGGATTGCGCGGGAGGAGCTAGAAAACCTGTTGCCTTCGTCACAGCCCCAAGTGGACTCGATTGCTGACGCCATCTGAGAATAAGTTCCGCAATCGCTTAGAATTTCCAAAGCTCCGCAACCTCAGCCGCAAGCGATGACCGACGCTGCGCGCCCTCTCCACGCCCACGTCATAAGGTCGCACCATCACAGTTCCGCCGCCAGCCACCGCCGCCATCGACGCAATACCATCCACCCAAGAGCCAGTGCAACGCTCCGAGGAAAACCGACGTGTGGCGTGCCCCCGACCACCGACCGCTCTGCTACCACTGCGGCGAAGCTGGCCACACATACCGCCGCTGCCAGTACCGTCAGATGGGACTGCGTGATTTAGCCGTAGATTCGCCGTGTCCATAGCGGGGCGAAAACCCCGCGACATTGCTGACTACTTTACAGCAGCGCCGTCGACACTCCAAGGACCTCGTTCGCCGTCATCTGGCTGCTACATGTCGCTTCACTGCCAGGTGTACACTGGCCCAACACAACGTTTGTCTCCTAGCCCTTATGAGGGAAACTAAGGGCAGCAACCGCTGTAGGGGCGGTTGCTGTGCGACGAACTACCGAAAATCCTCCTCCGACGACGCCGCGATGGTATGTTCCGAGCACGCCACGAACCTGGGAAAGCCTGGATGACGAAGCCTCACGTACTGAACGCGGCCTGACGACGCAACATGGAAGCAGTGGAGCAAATCGACGTAGCCGTGACCAACGCCACAACCAAATCAAATACGCGCGACGACGAACTAGCGACTTCGACACAATGTTCGACGGTCACAACGTCACTGCTCTCGTCGACACTGGGGCCAACTTTTCCGTCGTCAGTGGGCCTTTCGTGATGAAGTTAAAGGGAAGACTGCTTGCCAAAGCCCTGAAATTCGGACCACTGGGGATCATGTAATGACGCCGGCTGGTGTTCGCACAGCGAAAATCACCACCAATAACCGGACTTATCCCGCCAGCTTTCCAACTCTACAGCACTGCTTCAGGGATGTGATACTTGAAATGGACTTCTTAAGTCAACACGGCGCCGTCATTGACCTAAGGTTTGAGACAATAACGCTATCCACAGAAAAACGCTGCCACTGCACACGCCTTCATAAAGGCACGCTTTGAATGTGCTGGAAGACCAAGTCACTGTTTCTCCTCGCTCCATCGTCAGAATTTCCGTCGGCACTCAAGAATCATGCAAAGCGTCGTTGAAGGTGAATAGGAGCTGTTGATAAAACGCGACATTTGCGTCGCCAGAGATATAGCTGAGCTTTAGGGAGCTAACGCAAGAGTGATGCTCACGAAGTTCAGCAACGAGTA